CTGCACATGTGCCACAATATCGATACAGGGCCAGCTGTATCGATACACGTATCGTCAAATCTCTGTGACGGTACATCGTCGTATCGATATTTTGAACACAGCACTAATGATTAGTAATATTGTCGCGGAGGGGGGGTATCCCGCCCGCGATACACTTCAGTTTAGAACATGAAATTCGTAAATTGGTAGAGAGATTTTGCTATACCATTTATACCACAGAAGATATATTTAATCAGCTATCACCATGATTTTTACATTACATTGACAAAGAAACCAGGTGAAAACAGAGGGGGACAAATACTAAACAAGTCAAATTGAGGTACAACAAAACTACACTACCATTTAAAGGTTTGGGATTGGTAATGTTTTTAGATGTTTTTCAAATAAATCTCTGCATTTATTTGATAAACAAACTACAGTAAAAACAGTAATATTGTGAAATATGATCACAATTCAATACAACTGTTTTCTATTTGAATATATTTTGGCAAAGCTGAATTTTCAGCATCATTACTCCAGTCTTCGGTATCACATGATTCTTCAGAAATCATTCTAATATGCTGAAACATTTCTTATTATTATCAATGTTGAAAACAGTTTTGCTGCTTAATATTGTTTGTGAAAACATTGAAATATTCTTTCAGGATTCTTAGATGAAATTTAAAAGCATTTATTGGAAATTTCTTTACTGTCTCTTTTTATCAATTTAATGCATCCTTGTCAAATAACTTTTTTTTTATGATATTGTATCTGTGTGAGTGAGAGAGCATTCAAAACAAAGCATTAACGCCATCCTACACATGCCATGATGACACAAAAGCAAATATTTGCTGTTTAGCAGAAATGCTGTGATGACACAGCAGAAGGAAAAGACAGAAAAACAGTGGGAGGAGATGACGAAACTAAGAGCTTGAGGGAAAGGAAGGAGTGTGACTGTGAAAGAGAGAGAGAGAGAGGGAGAGAGACATGACTTAAAAAATTATGAGTAACTATGGCGAAACAAGAGTCCAACACAGTGGTGTACAGGAATGTGTTTAAGAATGAACATGTCTAGGTGATTGTGAGTATCAAATCTCATTTCAAAAAACTGAAAATTTGTTAATTAGACTCTAGATCTAAATTGTTCAAAAGGGCTTAAATAGAGCAGAATGTCCAAATATACTTTTTGAATGAGGAAAATTATTTGCTGTATTAGGGCAGCACAATTAATCGAATGCGATTGTCATGCGCATCTTGTCAGTAAAGCCGGTTCTGTGATTAGTAGTAAATCTCCAGCACGTGCTTTCAGATGGAGCAGCGTTTACTATACAGAGCCGTAGTTCACTGACAAGCTATGCAAAAAGCTGTCATAATCGCAGAACGATTTCATAATCGCACGATTAAATCGTCTGCGATTATGACAGCTTTTTGCGTAGCTTGTCAGTGAACTACGGCTTTGTGTAGTAAACGCTGCTCCATCTGAAAAATACCACATTTGATAACGTTTTTACTCCAAACTCACTTCTAATAAAAATTATAATAAGACGAACTCTGATAAACCATATATTGTCATTGTCCTGTTTATTAGTCACGTTGAATTAATGAAAGCAGTTAAATCTTCTGTTTATTCAGCAACCGCTATAGGCATTTCCTGGGTTTCTTCTGCGAGGGTTATTTGGAGTTTCCGCACGAGAGCGCCCTTGGCTTTGGATGGACATTTACTGCTGATCACAGAACCGTGCTTCACTGAAAGATACGCATGACAATCGCAGCTTCTGCCTAATCTAGATTTATCGCCTTTGCGATTTAATTTTGATCAATCGTGCAGCCCAACGCTGTATTAAAGTTTGTAAGATTTTTTAGGTCAAAAAACACTCTCTTCACCAAGTTTATTGTTCATTGACTACTATAAGTAGGCCTATGCCATTCATGGGTTTATTGCCCCCAAAAGTGTAAACATTGAGCCTCCCAGGCACCATCAAAACATTTAGAGCAGCCCGCTAAGATTCATCAGTCACTTTCCAGTTCAACCAATAGTGAGAGTTTGAGGCGTGGCTACTGTAGCAAGCTGAGCCAGACGGTGTTTAGCCAGTGTGGCAACATGGCTGATGTGATACATGGGAAAATAAATTCAGATTCATTTGAAGAAATGCAAGCAAAAATTTGAACACTTGCCAAAATAAGCATAGACAGACAAAGGCGTAAAACAAGGTAAACACTGGTGGTGCTTTTAAAGATGGAGGAATCTGAGGGAATGTTTGGGTTTCAATCGAGATGCTAAACTTGAGTTTCTTCTCAACAGGTAAGCTAAAGTTTTGGTACACGTTTGCTCTTTACTGTCAAGCCCCAGATAAAATGGTAAGATATTGTGAGGCACGGAAGGACATGATGAGTGTAAGGAGCGTTTGCAAACGCTGTTTGACTACAAGCTTTATTTTTGTAATTCTGCTAGGTGACACTAGTAGCACAGAAACTGAAAACCTTTAATAAGTGGGTATACAAGTGGTTCTCACCTGTAGGTTATCAGTTGAACCACTGCTGAGATCATCCCCGGATTCTGAATCATTTCGGTTCTTATCCAAGCCACCTCCCTCTCCGGCAAACTCTTCATGAATTGCACCTTTTTCTGGTCCACGACTGCTCTTCTCCAACTCTTTATCTTTATCCTTCTCTCCATCTACATTGCGACTTGGGGACTTGGCTCTGGAACGAGGAAGTGAGCCAGGTAACGTGTTCATTTGTGTTGGGGGGACTTGTGCCGTCGGGCTGCCCGGGCTACCTCTGTCATCATTGGGCGGCAGTAAAGCATTGCCGGAGGGAGAGGGACACGGGCTCTTTTTGTTCTCATCTGGCCGCTGGATCTCCAGGCCAGATGGTCGAATGGGTCCAGTCCCCCCTCGGCCTGCTGCACTGAGAGGTTTAGGAGGGGGCATGAGAGCCCGTCGCACCTCCCGCACATACTGCGCTGGGACATAGAAGGCCTTACTGGCCTCGTCCTTGCGCACCTGCCACCAGTCTTCATTGGTCTTCTTCACAAGCAGGTAACTTTCTCCCTGTTTAATGATGATCACACGGTCTTTGGATTTGTACTCATAGTCGAACTCCACCTCTATGTACATCTGACCCGGAGCCACCGAGCGGTCTGCCATCGCTGTCAGAGGTCAAAGGTCAACAGCAGGAGTAGAGGAGCATGGTGAGGTGTGGGTGGGTTGATTTGAAATCAGCTGAAGGAGAAAGAGAGAGACAAAGGACATTTTATCAGAAATATCGATGACTTCTGTATCAGTGTGTGAAATGTTCTGCGGTTGCAAAGTCAAGGCAGTTTTATGGTAAATGACTGAAGATTAATAAATAAATGCTTGACCAGGGATGCTCCGATCGATCGGCCGGAGGTCGGTATCGGCCGATAATCACATTTTATGACTCGATCGGTACTCACTAACTTGGCCGATCTCACGAACCGATCACAATTTGATGACGTCAACGCGTGACGACGTACATGATGCGTGGGGACATAAATGATTTGGCGCCACAGTCATGTCATAGCTGGTGTGGAAATGCGATGACGTTTCGAGAAACAATGAAAAATGTGCTATTTGTCGCGTATGTTTTGCATAATGATATGATAAATAGGCCTAGATGGTTCATTCTTAACAGCAGATTCAGTGGCGTTAGAGCTGATCTGCGCCTCACTGCACACGTCTGCGGCGCGTTACAGCTCCGTGGGATGGCCATATTAGCCTACTCAATAGCATTAACACAGGCTTTACTCCTTTCAAACTTTATCTGGAATGTCACTGTTTCTGTCACTGAATTCGCACACGAAATCGTCTGCCTCATGAAAAAAAATTTATTTAAAAAAAATGTAGTTAATATTTGCATCATTTATGATTTATTTTATCCACCCGCGACCCACCCGCAAATAATCAGGATGCATTTTTTATTACCCAGCCCATGGATTAACAACTTCAGTCTGCTCATCACCTTAACTTTAACTGCGTTTGTAGCCGGCGCCATAGCCAGACTGATAAACAAACACAGACCGGAAGTTAACTTCGGGCCAGGCACGTGCGCCCGATGAAACCGTCTATATAAAGCTTGAAGCATCAGAATCGGCATCGGTATCGGCCGATCACCATGACAAGAAATCGGTACTCAGTATCGGCTGCAAAAATCCTGATCGGAGCATCCCTATGCTTGACCAAGCAATGTCATTCGTTTCCTCTTTGACTATATGAAAATAAAAGATAATGAAAAATTAAATATTAAATAATATTTATGCTGTTGGTTTTTCAACTTCCTGGAATGTGATGTCATAAAACCTTTTCTATATAAACCTGCAAATTTAGCCCCCATTTCTCATTTTCTCATCTAATAACATTTTAACATACAGTATTATGTGTAAGGTGCACAAATTAAAACATGAAGCAAAAAACTCCTTCCTGTGAGTTCAAAACATTCACCACTATGGAGAAACCAGGATTTTGAAACAAAGTGGAATTTGCTTCAGGGTATATGAACTTCAGCACAAAGCAAACATCCACACTCAGGTGTCTTTGACTTGAGCAACTCATCCTGATTGAGACACAATTATGAGGTCACAAATTATACAAAGCAGATTCAGTGGCCTTTTCAGTGATTTTCTAAAGGTGACACCTTTAAACACACACCATACACATTTAACTATGATAAACATGACAATATTACACAAAACTAAACTCATCTGTCTAAAGTATTATTCATATCTCCAGGGTCAAAAGTTTTTAATGTAGGCACTTAAACATCTAGCCTAAGTAAGTAGTTACACAAAAGTGCAGCAATGACTTTGCTAACAAACACGTGGTCTCTACAAAGGATTCTGTCACATTACTTGTATGCTTGGATAATTGCAATTCTAGTGTTTTCCTTCAGCACCAGACACTAAACAGCACATTTTATGTCATATATTGGAGAATAGGCTCATTGCCAATAGCCAACTGTAATAGCTACATCTGATTTTATGTCTAGAAAAAAATGTATGACAAAAGTATATTAATCCTGCTGAAGTTTCTGTGGACGTCTGATAGTGCAGGTGTCTTTCCATCCTCATAACTAAAGCACAGCATCAAAAGAAATCACTGATACCCCATGCCGGCATGCTGCTTAACCAGAGACAGCTGAGCTACGCAACTAAACACTGGTTTACTGAACACAAGCCTGACCCAATGAGTGATGACATCAGGAAGAGTAAATCCTGCGGTGAAGTGTCTGAGAATAGGATTTTGGGATGAAGAAAAGAAAAGGTTCCTACAACTTTTGACCAATGAACTTCCATGACATTTTCCAAGACTTTCTAGTAATTCATGATTACTGAATACATAATTTTATAAGGAAACACAATTTTCAAACAATTTCTAGCCAATAAAAAACTAGACAAATCTATAATTCCTATATATATGACACTTTTTAACGATTTTGTTAATTTTCACATGACTTTTCCAGGTTTCCCATGACATTGGGAAACCTGGAGAAATATCAAAGCTTTCTTTCATGTTTTCGGACTAGAATACCAACAAAGTTTCATTCAAAAGGTATTTTTTTATTTGTCATGGGAAAACTTTTAATGAATGTCAGTAAGCACAAAGCCAGTGTTTCAGTTAATTGAATAAATAATGTACAATAAGTTTAACAAGACAATGTAAGAGCAAAGCATGTGACAGAAGCTCCACCCACACAGAGAAAGCTCATCATATCTCCAACACAATCACTAGCATAGCCTACATACTGCCCTCCTGTCAACATGAGGACAGCTTAAAGTGCTGTCATATAGATTTTAATCCAGGATTTAAACTCTTTAAGGCCGCTTAAATTGAGTGTTAAACTGCATGGCAGGACATAAACTACCGTTTTACAATTTGCCATTGACAATTATCATTTCCCCCTATACAATGAGTAACGTTAACTATAATTTCCTTGTCGTTTTAGCTCCGTGTACGACATAAATCTGTATCGTTATGTCATATAAACACTTCAAACAATGACACATCAATGTCAAATGTCACGAAATTAGCTTTCCCAGTCAAACATAATCCAACTGACAAAATGAAATAATAAAAAATGTATTACAAAAAATGTAAATGGTAAAAACAGAATGAGGCTAAAGGGACGATCTTTAATCGGAGGTGAAATTCCTTCCCTCAGGTAAATTAAGTTAACGATAAGGGTCACACTTTAAAACTCACCTGTGTGACAGGTTAACGTCTCAAATTAAACTTTCAAATTTAATTTTCTCAGGAAATTCAGTGTTAAAGTCTGTATACATAATTTTCTCCGCTGGAAAGAGGTGAGTAGACCTGAGGAAACAGGTTCGCTCTCATTCCTACCTGCTAACCAGCTAGCACGTTCACAAAATCCGTAAAACCCTATTAAACCCCTATAATTGTTTCTATGTCTACAGGTTACCGACAGATGAACGTACCTCAAGAAATATTCCAGGTGTTTCGTGAGCTAGGGCGAAAGAAACATGATGAATTTCACGTTCATTGATCTTGCTGGGCAGTTGAGCGTCGAAGTTCCTTGTTCCCGAGCCGCGGCGCGAGCGAACGCCTCCGGTACGCTCGCGCCCACTTTCCCACAAGCGCACTCCCACGCGCTCCTGACGGGCCGGTGCTTGTGTGAACTTCACTTGGAATCTGGAGGGTCGTATGACGGTAAACTGACGCCACCGTGAGGCTATAGATGGATAACCTCACAAAACTATAATTAAGAAAATAGGAATGTAAAAAGTGCTCTCCAAAATTATTTGTCTGATTTAGAGGCCTGCAAGCCCGTCGGGTCCCGCTGAGTCCATTCGGGCCGGGATCGGGTCTTTTTTTTTTTTTTACAGATCGGGCTCGGGTCGGACTCGGGCTCATTTAGCTTCTCTCCTTTTATTGTGCCCATATACGCGCAGAGCACACATAGGCTACTGTATGAAATATTGTTATATTGATTATATTATAAATAGGCATATTACATAGCCTATGCAATACGCAACGCATATACGCACGCATTAACATACAGGTGACAGTTGACCATGCAGAGCATCAGGGAGAAGTTGGAGCGTGGGGAGTTACTAAAAGTTCCCAATGCTTCGGGAAAAGCTGCATTTTGGAAGA